TCATTCTAAATGCACCGAAGGGCTATTTAAAGAAATGCCATATTGAAATTTTTCATAAAGAAAATAATCACACTCTTGTGTTTGTTATGAAAATTTTATAAACAGGCCTTTCTAACCCATGGTACACCTGGGATCCTTTCCTTATCCCAGAAATGTATCCTTACAAGCTGGCATCTCTACAGGAGGGCATCTGTATCCCTAAGACAACAATAATGTTAAAATGCTTAACATTCTTTATTTTAAAATTGCTTTGCTAACTTGTACATTCAACATTCAAGGGAGGTAGATAAGTATTACACCGCTTTCACAGATGGAGAAACTGAGACAGAGATTAGTAAATTGTGCCGAGGGGCATAATACATATAAATGGCACGATTAGGAAAAAAATTTGTTGGAGTCATGGAGTTTGAAGTTGCAGTGAGCTATAATGATGCTACTGCACTCTAGCCCAAGCAACAGAGTGAGATCTTGTCTCAAAAACAAAAAAGGGGAGCATGATAAGCATACAGATGGATTAACAGCCCCTCTCAATGCGCCTTCATACAACATGGAACATTTTTTTAAATGACCTTTCCCATGATTTCTAGGTCTGACCAGCACGAAAGTAGCAGATGCATCATGGAGACAAGTCATCAATAGCTTGGCTAGTCTAAGGCTAAACTTTACCTTGTTGTTGCCAGATGTTGAATATGCCGTCCGTGGGGAAGCGTTCCCCTCACACACATTCTCACATGCCTCCACCTCTAAACAGGGAGAGTGGAAGCTGTTGTGAGTACAGGAGGGGTTGGACAAATGGGGCTGGGAAAGAGGACAACAGAAGAGAAAACAAGAACTGATACCAAAGCAAGGAAGCCAGAAAGAACAAGAGGACAGCTGGGAACCGGTCCAACAGAAAGGGAAGCCACAGCAGAAAAGAAGTGTCATTCATTTGAAAAGCTCAGACATCCAGAAATGCTATTAAAAGGGTAATTCTTAGCAATGACATTATAGAACCACTCCTCATGGCTTTGCCAAATGTAATTATCAGGTCTTTCTGACATTCCCAGGAGGCAGAATCATTCCTTTTTTTCTGGTGCAGACCAAGTGCTGATGTAATTGACCTGACACTGCAGAGGCTGCTGACAAGGCAAATGCACCCACCCGCCACGCCTCCTCTCCTCCTCTGTTCTTCTGGTCTCTCCCTCTGCGAAAAATCCTAAGGTAGAGTCCCATGTTTTAATTTTTATAAAACACCAGGGGTGGTGGCTCACACTCTGGGAGGCCCAGGCAGGTGGATTGCTTGAGCTCAGGAGTTTGAGAGCACCATGAGCGAGAGTGAGACCCCGTCTCTACTAAAAGAATAGAATATTGTGGAGGGTGTCTGTATTCCCAGCTGCGTGGGAGGCTGAGGCAAGAGGATCTCTTGAACTCAGGAGTTTGAGGTTGCTGTGAGCTATGACACCATGACAGTCTAGCCTGGGCAACAGAGTGAGACTTTCTCTCTCTCAAAAAAAAAAAAGAAAAAAAAGACCCTATCTCCGCAATTAACCAGGTGTGGTGGTGACACTCACCTATAGTCCCAGCTACTAGAGAGGCTGAGGCAGGAGGACTGCCTGATCGCAGGGGTCTGAAGTTGCAGTGAGCTAAGACAATGCCACTGCACTCTAGCCCAGGCAGCACAGTGAGAACTTGTCTCAAAAAAAAAAAAAAAAAAA